ATGAAGCCAGTGCTTCGTTTATCAAGATCACTTACACAATGTTTTATTATTGTGTCTTTGTAAATGAAATAACCTCCTATGTTTTACGTCAACGAAATGGCCTTTATAATGCCTTAATATGATGTGGTTTTGATCTACTCATGATTATCTGGCCCGCATACTAAGGTGAAATGTGGCCCCCTCGCGTAAATGAGTTTGACAGCTCTTCCCGAGCATGATATCTATTATTATTCAGGACGAACTTGCAAAGGGTCAAAAATCAATGTCATTCTTTTTTTTCAATCTTCTTTTCATTCATTGAAATTATTCAGTTGATCGCTTATTTCACCTGAGAGATGAAAAGGGGGTAGAAAGTTTGTTGGTAGCGAGTAATATCAGCTCACTGAACAGATACACCTTTCGAGGTACTAGCGCCTGGAGTAAAATTAATCAAATGGGGTTGTTGTTGGCGGAAAGATGGAGGACCACGACGCTAGTGAAATGCTCTACCTTGAAGGAACATTGACACTCCAGGCGAGCGACCTAGGAGTGAGTACAAGTGAATGCTTTTTAAATATTTTCTCACATCGTACCCGGTAAAGAAATTAGCTTTATGTCTTCGTTTTTTTCTCGAATTGCTTGGTTTGACGAGGATTTGAATTCAGCTTCTGAAGACGCTTTTAACTCATAACCCAAAATTTTGATTTCTGTTTGTGATTTCATCCGACAGCTATTGAATTTTTGGTAGAGTTTTAAGAGGTCTTTTGTGCATTATTTACAGCTCAATATAAATGTTTCTATATATAATAGTAAAATAGAATAAAGCAATAAGACATATTTTAGTACTTCATATTTTCTGTTTGTTTGTTTAGCAATTTAGTAATGAGATATTAGCAGTTATTAGCGGCATCTCTATTAAGATCACTTCTAGAGTACAATTCCTGAACAAATAATCTTGCAAATAACACTTAGTAGAAGATTGTTATAAATAAATATCAAATATAATAAATGCTGGAACTTTAGTTGGTGTTACAGGCATTATTAAGAGTTTTATTTTACCGCATATTTTGACATTTGAAAATTAAAGGTTATGAATATGATG